AACGCCCTGGGGTCTGGGACCCGCTCTATTGTCGGGGCCCTCTCCCTCGTGCCAGTCTTGGTCTTCAGTCGGAGGACTCCTCTCTCCTACCCCCCGCTTCTCCGCGGCCGTGTCTCCCCTGGCTTCCCGGCTCCCGTGCGGGCTGGTGCGCGCGTCTCCCGATGTCGTTCGCCGCGCGGAGATGCGCCTCCACGTGCGGCCGAGAAGACAGCGTGTGCCCGTCGCGGTCTTCGCTCGGGGTCCCTGGAAGTTGCGGCATGCGTTCTGGCTATGCGTCCGTTTTTTCCTTTCCCCCCCCTCCCCCCCCCTCTCTCTCTCTTTCTTTCCCCCCTTCTCCCCCTCTCTCTCTCTCTTTCTCTATCTCTTTCTATACATATATACACATATTTCTATAGATCTATATCGAGACGTCTGTTCTCTCTTTCTCTGGCGACGGTGAAAGCTTCCCCCGTTTTCAGACTTCGTTGGGAGTGCCGTGTCTTCTGGCGCACAGGTGCACTGCGGCGACCAGGGTGCTCCTTCTACGGTCTTCCCTCCACGGTCCGTTCCTTGCCCGTGCCGTCGCCGGTCCTGCCTCGACGGTTCGACTGCCGTCTTTCGCCACACCTCTCTGGGCTCGAATGTTCCGTGCTGCTCCTTGCCCTCCTCGCTCCGCTGTGCGTGTGCGTGCCCCCGTACGTTTAAGTCGGGCCTGTCCCTCTACAGGAGGGATATTCAACAATAGTCAAAAACTAGTCGGGGGACCATTTTTTGGGAGTATTTTTGGGCATCTTCTGAATATTTTGTGAGTATTTCCTTAATGTTTCCTCCAGAATCCCCCTGTAGGGGGACACGCCCGACTTAACCGTGCGTGTGGCGTCCCCGCCGTCTGGCCCCCGTGTCGTGTGATCGGGGAGCCGGCTCCGCCCGTGCCGAGCAGCACGCTTCGCCCTCGAGGGGGCGTGCGCCCCATCCAGCATTGTCTCCAGTCGGGCGTGTCCCTCTACAGGAGGCACATCAGTTTTTTCTATATTATTATTATTATTCGTATTATGATGGTTATTGTTATTAGTATTTTATTATTGTTATTGTTGTTGTTGTTGTTGTTGTTGTTGTTGTTGTTGTTGTTGTTGTTGTTGTTGTTTTTGTTGTTGTTGTTGTTGTTGTTGTTGTTGTTGTTGTTGTTGTTGTTGTTGTTGTTGTTGTTGTTATTATTATTTTTTATTATTATTACTATTCGAATTACCCCAGTGCGACCCTACCTAGAAGTTTGAGCCCCTAGGAAAGCATAATCAGTTGCTATGCTATGCTATGCTATGCTATGATATGCCATACCATGCTGCGTTATGATATGCTTTGCTATGCTATGCTATGCAATGCTATGCTGCGCTATGCTATGCTATGCTATGTTAAGCTAAGCTATGCTATGTCATGCTGCGCTGTGCTATGCTATGCCAAGCTATGCTATGCTAAGCTAAGCTAAGCTATGCTCTGCTATGCTAGGCTATGCTATGCTATGCTATGCTATGCTGCGCTGTGCTATGCTGTGCTATGCTGTGCTGCGCTATGCAATGCTATGCTATGCTATGCTATGCTATGCTATGCTGCGCTATGCTATGCTATGCTGGGCTATGCTATGATATGCTGTGCTGCGCTATGCTATGCTACGCTATGCTATGCTATGCTGTGCTCTGCTATGCTAAAGCTCAGCGAAGCTAAGATGAAGGTAAGCTGAGCTAAGAAACACCTGAAGCTAAGCTACGCTAAGATGACATCAGCTAAGCTACGATGAGATAAGCACCGCTAAGGTAAGGGGACGTAACTGGGGGAACCGCGGGACGGATACTGGGGGAAACGCCCGGGGCGCTTTCCACTGCTTGGCCCCTTTAAGCCCAGAGAGTAAGAACCCTTCTAGGCAGAGCCTAGGTAGGGAAAATATTATACATATAACACACACAGACACAGACACAGACACAGACACAGACACAGACACAGACACAGACACAGACACAGACACAGACACAGACACAGACACAGACACAGACACAGACACAGACACAGACACAGACACAGACACAGACAGAGACACAGACACAGACACAGACACAGACACAGACACAGACACAGACACAGACACAGACACAGACACAGACACAGACACAGACACAGACACAGACACGGACACAGACACAGACACAGACACAGACACAGACACAGACACAGACACAGACACAGACACAGACACAGACACACACACACACATATATATATGTATAAAAAACTGTTTTTCATGTTGGAGCATGTTTTTTTGACTAGTTTTGAGTTCTCTTCCAAAAGCAGCCTGTAGGGGGAGATGCCCGACCTAAATTTGGCGCTGTCCTCCTTCGATTGGCACGGAGTTCTTGGCCACTCCCACCCGGCAGGAGCGGGTGTTCGCAGTCGCCGTGCTCATCTTTGCGATGCTGGTCTTCTCGTCCTTCCTAAGCTCGATCAGCACGGCTATGACCCAGATCAGGACGGGAGGGGTGCAGCATGCCAGAGCGCAGCATTGAGCAACACGGGATATTCGATGCGCTCTTACGGTGATCTCTCTCTCTCTCTCTCTCTCTCTCTCTCTCGAGAGAGAGAGAGAGAGAGACGCAGAGAGAAGACGAGAGAGAGAGAGAAAGATACGAGGAGAGAGAGAGAGAGAGAGAGAGAGAGAGAAAGAGAAAGAGAGAGAGAGAAAGCGCTTGCACGAGAGAGGGGGAGAATATACAGAAAGAGCGAGAGAGCGAGAGAGAGAGAGAGAGGGAGAGGGAGAGGGAGAGAGAGAGAGAGAGAGAGAAATAGAGAGAGAGAGAGAGAGAGAGGGAGGGAGGGAGGGATAGAGAGAGAGAGAGAGAGAGAGTCACTTCTGCGCCTCTGGCGCCGCCCCTGGCGCGCTCCGCGCGACAGGGAGGGTTCCAGCGCCGATTCAAGACATCCGCGCGGACCTCCGCGGAATTTGTGCTCATGTCGCTTGGTGTTGCATTGCGGAAGACAGTCGGGTACGCAGAAGCGGACGAAGACGGACACGCATGTCGGGCAGGGACAGACGGACGCTCCGTTTGTTGGAGGCAGGCTTTCTCGTCGAGCGCCGCGTCGAGCGCCGCACCCTGCGGGGAGGCAGCTCCGATCTCGTCAGAGGCGCCAGCCGTCCGCCAGAGACTCCCGTCAGAGCGCGCCAGAACGTGTGGCAACGGGCGTTGCGAAAGCGACGACACGTACTCCGAGTTTCTCAACAAGCGTCGGGGGGGCGTCACCCCCGCCGACAGCCCCACATCGACCCCCGTCGCGGGCAGCCACTGCGCGTCGAAGGCGCTCCGACCCCCGTCGCGGCGCGACGACGAGCCGAGGCTGACCCCCGTCGGGGGTGCACCCCCCCACGCTTATTGAAAACCCAGAGTACGTAAAGATGACCCTCTGCCGCGGTGACCGTCGGTGCGTGCCCGCTGGGGTCCCCCGGTCGCCGAATGCGACGCGGTAACGGCGGGTTGCGCGCTTGGGCTCTGCCTCCTTCCCGAAAGCCGCGCACCAGAGGGGGCACTCTTGCCCTGTAGGGTCACTCTGGCGCGAAACGGAGATGCAGGCCGGCCGAGCGACAGCCACGATCCCTCGCTCCCTCCCCCCTCCCCCTCCCCCTCCCCCTCCCCCTCCACAATTACTCCTCATCCTCCTCCTCCTCCTCTTCCTCCTCCTCTTCCTCCTCCTCCTCCTCCTACTCCTCCTCCTTCCTCCCCTCCTCCTCCTCCTCCTCCTCCTCCTCCTCCCCCTCCCCCTTCACAATTACTCAATATGAATACTACTCTCCCTCTTCCCCTGATGACGGCTTGAAAGTGGCCGACCCCCCCCCGCGTATTGTTTTTTTACACAGGCTTCCCCAGAGTTGGGTTTTCGCCTGCATTTTTTTCCAAAATGCTGCTCTCGCTGAGGCGCCGGCCTCATTTTCGGGCCCCGCTCGTTCCGAATCCTGCTCCCGCTGCAGCGCTGACCTCATTTCCGTGCTTCCGCTCGTTCCGAATCGTGCTCCCGCTTCAGCGCTGGCCTCATTTCCGCGCTTCCGCTCGTTTCGACTCGTGCTCCCGCTGCAGCGCTGGCGTCATTTCCCGTGCCATGCCACGGAATGCAATGCAATGCTAGGTTGATACTACGCTTTGCGGTGCTCTTCTACGCCATGCCATGCCGTGCTCTACAATGCATCGCGTACCCTTTCGGGATCATTGCCCTGCTCGACATCCGACTGTGCGAGTAGAGAGGGGATATACGCCATGGTAAGGGATGGGAGGGAGGGGTAGGATGTCAGATATGCCGCGAGCGCACCTAGCTTGTCCCTTCCCTCCCCTACCCCTCCCCAATCACCTCCACTCTCCTTCCCTCCCCTCCCCCCTCCCCTCCCCTCCCCCTCCCCCTCCTCCTGCCCTCCCCTTCCCCCTTCCCCTTCACTCTTCCCCCTGACCCTCTTTCATGAGGCATCATAGATGCCTAACGCTGATGACACAATGAGTTCGTGACCTAACCCAGGTCTTTGGTTTTCAGGGGTATCCCTAAATATATGGTTGATTTAGTTGTATATATATATATATCTATATATATATATATATACAAACCGATGGAGGAAAAACCGCCCCGACCCCGACAATTGGCGTTTACTAGACAGCCCTTGGCGTTTACTAAACAGCCCTGCCCGGTTCGATTCCTTCTTTGGGTGCGTTTACTAGACGGCTTCGCTTGTCGGCGTGCTTCTTATGGGGGTCGGTTTTCTGCATTCTAAACATGGCCCCAAATCCCTATCGTTTTTGGTCCTCCGAACTCAGGTCCCCTTATGAAGAGTTAGGGGCACTTCGGTTGCTTATCACTCTCCGTGGCGCAGGCAAGCCTTCCTCCTCTTCTCCCTCCTCTCTTCCCTCCTCTACTCCCTCCTTCCTCCCTCCCCCCTTTCCCCCCTCCCTCTTACCCCTCTCCGCGGCGGTTGAGCCCTCCAGGGTTTTGCCGGCGCCGTCCAGAGGATTACTTGGGCCTCTTAGGGCGTTCCCGCGGGGCCTCCTGGGACCTGGCCGACGTCTCGTGGCCGCGCGGCAGCCAGCGCAAGGGGACGGACAGTAGGCTCGGTGAGAGGCGAAGAAGCATTGATGTGCAAGATGTCTGTCGAGCTTCGTCGTTTGCCGTCCTGGCATCAGGGTGGGAAGAAGGCCTCCCTCACGCGCGTGTGATGCTCGCATGTTTCGGCCTCTGATCATGGGTACTGTGAGTGGCTCGCGGTAGGATTCCGAGCAGGAGCATCAGGCCATGGGAGGATATTCGTTCTCTTTACCCTCCTCGTTCGTTCTCGTCCATCGTCCCTCCCTCTTCCTCTGCTCGGATGTTCGATCTCGACTTATTCGCTGCCTGCCTGTGGCAAGCCCCGCCAACATGCCAGCGCAGCATATACATATAACGGCGCACCGGGTCCGGGGGCCCGGGGCCGGGACCTCGACCACAAATGTGCACCCCGGGGGCCCCGGAGGCTCGTCGGGGCTTGCCGGAGGCCTCCCCGGTCAGACAAGACGGCCCAAGAAGCGCCCAAGACGGCCCAAGAAACTTCCAAGAGGCCTCCAAGAGGGCTCCGAGATGCTGAAGATGGCCTCCAGACGTCCAAGGACGCCCCCAAGAGGCCCCAAGAAGCCTCCAACATGCGTCCCAAGAGGGCCCCTAGACGCAAAAATTGGCCCATTCCCTTCGTAAAACGTACATTTTCAACAAAGTCGCCTTTTGGGCTTTCCGACGTTACAGGACGGCCCAAGAGGCGCCCAAGACCGCCCCAAGACGGCCCAAGAAGCTTCCAAGAGGGCCCCAGGACAGCCCAAGAGGGCCCCAAGACGGCCCAAGAGGCGCCCAAGATGGCCCAAGAGGGCCCCAAGACGGGCCCAAGAGGGGGCCCAGAGGGGGACCACGAACCGCAAGCTCGAGCCTTCCGCCCCAAGAGGCCGCCAGGAGGCCCCAGGAGGCCCCTCAAGAGGCCCCAGGAGACCCCAGACGTCCAAGGACGCCCCCAAGAGGCCCCAAGAAGCCTCCAACATGCGTCCCAAGAGGGCCCCTAGACGCAAGAATTGGCCCATTCCTTCGTAAAACGTACATTTTTAACAAAGTCGCCTTTTGGGCTTTCCGACGTTACAGGACGGCCCAAGAGGCGCCCAAGACCGCCCCAAGACCGGCCCAAGAAGTTTCCCAGAGGGCCCCAGGACAGCCCAAGAGGGCCCCAAGACGGCCCAAGAGGCGCCCAAGATGGCCCAAGAGGGCCCCAAGACGGGCCCAAGAGGGGGCCCAGAGGGGGACCACGAACCGCAAGCTCGAGCCTTCCGCCCCAAGAGGCCGCCAGGAGGCCCCCAGGAGGCCCCTCAAGAGGCCCCAGGAGACCCCAGACGTCCAAGGACGCCCCCAAGAGGCCCCAAGAAGCCTCCAACATGCGTCCCAAGAGGGCCCCTAGACGCAAGAATTGGCCCATTCCCTTCGTAAAACGTACATTTTTCAACAAAGTTGCCTTTTGGGTTTTCCGACGTTACAGGACGGCCCAAGAGGCGCCCAAGACCGCCCCAAGACGGCCCAAGAAGCTTCCAAGAGGGCCCCAGGACAGCCCAAGAGGGCCCCAAGACGGCCCAAGAGGCGCCCAAGATGGCCCAAGAGGGCCCCAAGACGGGCCCAAGAGGGCGCCCCGAGGGAACCCCACGTGGGCCCAAGGAGGCCCAAGAGGGACCCAAGAGAGCCCCAAGAGAGCCCCAACATCGGTCACGCGGAAGAGCTCTCGCGTGACCGATGTTGGGCCCCTCTGTGGGCTCCTCTTGGAGCTCCGAGAGGAGCCAAAGATGGCCCCACGAGGGCCCCGACGAGACCCCAAGAGGACCCAAGCAGGCCCAAGAGGGACCCAAGAGAGCCCCAGCATAGGTCACGCGGAAGAGCCCTCGCGTGACCGATGTTGAGCCCCTCTTTGGGCTCCTCTTGGAGCTCCAAGAGGGGCCCAAGATGGCCCCACGAGGGCCCCGAGGGAGCCCCACGTGGGCCCAAGGAGGCCCAAGGAACCCCAAGATGGCCCCAACATCGGTCACGCGGAAGAGCTCTCGCGTGACCGATGTTGGGCCCCCTCTTTGGGCTCCTCTTGGTGCTCCGAGAGGAGCCCAAGATGGCCCCACGAGGGCCCCGTCGAGACCCCAAGAGGGCCCAAGGAGGCCCAATAGGGCCCCAAGAGGGCCCCAACATCGGTCACGCGAAAGAGCTCTCGCGTGACCGATGTTGGGCCCCTCTGTGGGCTCCTCTTGGAGCTCCGAGAGGAGCCCAAGGTGGCCCCACGAGGGCCCCGACGAGCCCCAAGAGAGCCCAAGAGGGCCCCAAGAGCGCCCCAACATCTCCTCTCCTTCCTCCTCCTCCCTCCTCTGCATCTTCCTCCTCCTCCTCCTTCTCCTCCTCCTCCTCCTCCTCCTCCTCCTTCTCCTCTCCAGGGGAATGAAAACCAGAGGATAGCTCACGGAGAGCCCAAGCACCCTCTTGTTGCATCCATCTTGGCTTCCAGATGGAGCCCAAGAAGGCCCCAAGGAGGCCCCTCAAGAGGCCCCAGGAGACCCCAGACGTCCAAGGACGCCCCCAAGACGCTTCGCGTCACCAATTTCTTCTCGCAGCGATTCCTGGGTCTGTGACTCGACAGAACCTAAGCGCGCGCGAAGCGCGCGCGTGGTTCTAGTCAACATGTATGCAGAATTACTCGCAGGCTTCCATGCGTTAGAAACGTTGTTCTACGAGGCTCCTCGGACCATCAGGACGCTCTTGGACTTCTTAGGCGTGATGATTTGGCAGATCTCTTCCGAAACGGCTCAGTATCACCATCTTGGGACTGTCTGGAGGGGTCGTGTGACCATCTTAGAGCTGCCTTGGGGCTGTTTGGGCCTCAGGCCTTTCAGACACTGTGTCAGGTAAGGGTTGCTTGATGCGTAACAAGCGATGTTAGTCGTTTTGGCTTACAAGTTACTTTAGAGCTCGTCAATGGCCTCTTGGGGGCTGCTTGATGCATCTGAGTGTCTCTTGGGAAGGTATTCAGACCTCTAGGGGTTATGTTGACAGTATCAGGCTGTTCGTTTGGACATCTTGCGGTAGTCTTGGGGTGATCCTGTGCCGTCTTGGGACCGCCTTAGAGACATGAAGAGTTTCTTGAACGCAAGCATTGGTGGGGGTGTTGTTTCCTATGTGCGGACGCCGCAGCCTGGAGATTGCCTTTGGAAGCCACCTAAGCCCTACCAGACAGCCGACAACCCTTCCAGCACGTTCCACGGTGCGGTTAGCAGGCTTGCGGATCCGCAGCGTTTTCGGAGAGGGGAGGACTCTCAACATGGAAGAGACGAGGAACTACATGAAATTGGAAAGGTTCATGCAGGACTCGAGATGCGGCGGCGACTCCGTGCGGGAAGTGCGTCACCATTGTCTCCACTTCAGATGTCCACCCGCCAATCACCCCCTCTCTAGTTCCCTCCTTCTCTCCAGCCATGCCTCCCTGGTCTCTTCACCGCCCGTCCACTCGAGCACGATCGAGATGGTGATGACCGCGACTGGAGACGTCGGATGGTGGTCAGCGAGCAAGAGGACACGAGCAAGCAGGAAGACTGCGGCGTGTCTCAGGCATCTGTACCTTTTTCGAACCTCAAGTCCTCGAGTCCTCTAGCCTGGATTCTCCTCGAACCTTGATCCTGCATGCGCGACTCGTGGGTGGCGGGGATGAGGGGGGAGGAGGAGGGGTATGAGGAGGAGGAGGAGGAAGGAGGAGGAAAAGACGAGGGGGAGGAGGAGGAGGAGGAGGAGGAGGAGGAGGA